CCTTGCGGATTAGGTATGGTCTTCACAAGAGTTGACCATTGAGAATAGATACCATCATCTAGGTAATATCTCTTGTTGTAATGGTGGCCATTGATCTCAAAACTAACCTTTGGGGAGTGGTCTTCTGCAAGCCTTGCAAACACTGGAGAACGTTGAAGCACATTGACATCATTTGTGAGAACCAACCATGCCAAAGAAAGAATGCCATATCCACAAATCTCGTGAAGCCACCGCTTCAAGTATGACAGTGACACCTTTCACATGCCCCTTGTACTGCCCCCGTCAAGCAAATGGACAGTTCTTCCACTTTGAGTGCATACAATCTATATTACCAAGCATGCCCGGAAAACCCCTGTCAGCATTGATCACCAACAACCTCTCTGTATCAGCGACAGTCGGCTCTCTCGGGTACTCGGGGCCGAACACTGCCACCACGACCTTGCAGAAACTATACACTGAGAGGAGACATGTGGACTCACTCATATGCACATACTCATCCACAAGATCACCAAGAATTCCATATGCAAGCATGCGGATAGCCGGAGTGCATTTCTGGTAAGAAGAGAAGCCAATCTTACCAAGAGCGTCCTCTTTGCACTCAAAGTATGGGTCATATCCTACCACTCCCTCCCGAATACGAATTGAACACATGTCTCCTCATTCGGAATCGGCGACGAAATTGATGTGGTTTGAAGAGTGCGGCATTCTCAAAGTAATCGGCATAGAGAAGGGTGTGGCCTTTATCCCTTATGCGGTTCAAGGCCGGAGCATGGTCGGGGATTGATCCCCTGAACCGCGGCCGCTTCCTACTAATGTGGTCATGGATGACCAATGCAGCGACCACAAGCTCTTCATCATCCTAGGATGAATCGTCCGATGAGCAAAAGAAGTTGTGAAAGAAATACCCATCCCCGCTATCCATTGTACCTTGTGAGCAAAGCGTTGAACACCTTGCGGTCATGGTTGAGACGTGGCCGGGAAATGCACGTCCAACTCCCCTTGCAGGCAACAAAGCAAGGTTTGGTCGGTGGTGGGTGCCCTGCGGCAATGCACGCCTGCTGGAAGTTATTGGGGTCGATGGGCAACGTCGGCGGCCGTAGCTCCTCTTCCACCGGCAACAAGGAACCATGAACGCCGGCAAAAAGCTTTCCGGATCGCGGGCGTGGGACGGCTATGTCATGGCGTGGTCGTGTTTTGAACGGCCTTGGTGGAAGGAAACGCGTCCGGGGACAGGGTGACGGTGGCGATGGCGTGGGACGGAAAGACGACAGGGAAAGAGAAAAAAGGGGCGTTTATGTCACCGACGGGCGGATCAGGCAGGACAAGAGCACATGCCTCGCCCGCCCGCGCACGTTCGTTTGGCCGCAAACGCGGTCTAAAATTGGGTGGGAATGAGTTGAAAGCAGATCGAAAACGGACATTGGTCCATTTGCTACCGCGTGTTGGACCGCCTGTTCTGTCAGTTTATCATTAAAGCGTGACTGGATCATTTGTGGTTGCACGTTGAAGTTGCCCTCTCAGTCCTTGGTATCTCAAGTGTGTACTGCACACGCGCGACGACAGTCGGTCCACTGCCGCGCGACTGTGTGCGGTTGCCGATCAACCGACGTAGGTGCTGTTCTATCAATGCTCTTCAATTTCCTTCGCAAGAAAATAGTTCTATACGTTACGCGTGCCAGTCGGTAGTTATATCAATGTATCACCAGGAACAGAAATGGACTTCATGTGCAGTTAATATCACTTGTACTGGACCTAGTTGCTCTGACATGCTCCACATCGAGCAATTTAACTGAACGGCTTTACGAGGGTAGCATCATGATGCTACGTGCGCGTCTCCTGTGCGGGTACGTCATCAAATCGGCTGAGTCCAGTCAACTGACGGTTCCCTGGCAGTTTCGCAAAGAAACGAGAGTCAAACCGTAGTTTTCACCACCGGCCATGTCCGACTGTAAAAATAGACTACGTAATCCAGGACAGTAACACGAGGGCAGAGCAAGAAGCAATCGACGCTCGCTGTCTGACCTCACATTTCGCAGCTGCATCGGATAGGGTACGTGGATTTGTTAAGTTTCTATTACTAAAATAGTAAGGTCGAGAGACTACCATTTCACCGACGAAATTTTCCTCGTCCATTTCACCGGCCAGTCATGAGATCGACACTTGGACAGCACTTGGGAGAGGCCCCACCGGTGGAGCACGTCCTGCGCACAGCTGCCCCGGAGCGACCACGAAATCCACACAATCAAAACGCTGACAGGACCCTTTGAGCAAAGGGACCGCATACTAGAATAGTATGCCAGGCTGCTAGATACAAGGGGGCCGGGCTCTTCCGAGTTGGGGTTGCCGCTGGGCCGACGTACATAGCCGTACGTCATAAACCATACTACTCGAGCTCCGTTAAAAACATGAAGTATTAGGCCAACTTCATCGCGCGATTCTATCTTGTCCTGGTGCGTCAGTTTGAGGTAAAACGGACGAATAGCGTGGTCTAACACGTGGCTTCAAACGGATAAATGTTCGGATTCCGTTCGTTTTCGACCCTTCTCGGCCCAAACTTGCGCTCAGTTTGAAGTGAGACGGACGCGCGCGGACGGCCTCGACGCACGCCCTTGTCCCTGGCCCGCCTGTCGGGGACACTAGCTTTCACCCTCTTTCCCCCGCCCCGCCCGCCGCCGGCGCTGTCGCTATTCTCCGGCCGCCTCCTCACCGCGCAGCCCCCCAGCCGTTCATACCAAACCATGTCTCGACATGGCCGCCACCACGCCCGCGCTTTCGCCGTAGTTTTGGTCGTCGATCGGAGGAGGTTTGGCCGTCGCCGTCTTTGTCGGTGGCAGAGGGGACACGACCGCCGGTGACGTACCACGGCAGCCGCGGCAGATTCCAACGAGAGCTCCAAAGCGGACAGTAGCCGGCCGACAACCACCCTTACTGCGTCGAGGTGATCATCGCGGCCTCTTCGCCACCACGACCGCAAGGTGTTCGACATTTTGCCAACAAAGGTATGGACAGTGAAGACGAGTTTTTCTTCCATCACTTTCTTTGTTCATCGGACGATTAGTCATAGGATGATGACAATCTTGTGGTGGCTGCACTGGTCGTTCAGGACCATATTCAACAGCAGCTTCCTCAGTACAGGGGGTCAGTCCCTGGCCGTGCTCCCAACCTGAACCGCAACAGGGAGAGAGGCCACGCCTCGCTCTATGCCGATTACTTTTCCAACACCCCGCTCTTTAAGGCGGATAAATTCCGTCGCCGTTTTCGAATGGCAAGGCATGTGTTCAATCGTATCCGAGAGGGAGTGATTGCTCATGACCCATACTTCGAGTGCAAGACGGATGCCCTTGGCAAGCTTGAATTCTCCTTTTACCAAAAAATGCACCGCGGCCATCCGCATGCTTGCATATGGAATTTTGGGCGATCTGGTGGATGAGTATGTGCGCATGAGTGAGACAACATGTCGAATGTCAATGTACAAGTTTTGCTAGGCTGTGATCGAGGTGTTTGGCCCAGAGTACTTGAGGCAGTCAACTGCAGCTGATACAGAGAGATTGTTGGCGCCCAACGCAGCTAGAGGCTTTTCAGGCATGCTTGGCAGCATAGATTGTCTGCACTGGGAGTGGAAGAACTGTCCATTTGCTTGGCAGAGCTAGTACAAGGGGCATGTCAACGCGTGCACTGTCATATTAGAAGCGGTGTCTTCGCAGGATCTTTGGACATGGCATTCTTTCTTCGGCATGGCAGATTCTCACAATGATATCAACGTGCTGCAGTGTTCTCCAGTCTTCGCAAGGCTTGCAGAAGGCCACTCTCCACCTGTCAACTTTGAGATCAACGGCCACCAGTACAACAAGGGATACTATCTAGCTGATGGTATATATCCTCAGTGGTCAACTTTTGTGAAGACAATCTCGAAACCCCAAGGTGAGAAGAGAAAGAGATTTGCCCAAATGCAAGAGAGTGTTAAAAAGGATGTGGAACGTGATTTTGTTGTGATTCAATCCCGATGAGGTGTCGTTCGAAACCCTGCACTGTCATGGGACGAAAAGAAGCTTTGGAAGATAATGACTGCTTGTGTGATCATGCACAACATAATCGTCGAGGACGAGCGTGATTAGAGTATCTTCGACCAAGGATTTGATTATCAAGGTGAAAATATTGAGCCCCTGCACCAAGACCCAATCACATTTAAACAATTTGTGCAATTCCTTCGTGAGATGTGTGATTGGCATAGTCATTTGAATCTTTAGAACGACTTGGTTGAGCACGTGTGAAATTATATTGGCAACCAATAGCCGTATTGATTCATTTTATGTTCAGTCAAGACAATTTCAATTTAGTTGTAAAACTTTTTTGTTAAGGACAATTTTAATTGTGTTGTAAAACTATTTTAATTTTCAGACAAATATTTGGTCATGCAAACTAGTTTTGATGAGAATGTAGGTATTTTTGGCCCTGACGAATAGGATGGGGCAAATGGAGAAGGATTGGCCGCGGCATCCCAACAAACGTCCGAACACGACCATCGCATATAAAACGAACGTCCATTTGGATCGTGCCGTGGAGTTGGCCTTAGAATCATCCAAAAACGTGAAGAGGGTCAGGGAGAAGGATTGGCCGTGCATCACCCATCGCAGCATGTTTTTTCTCCCCGAGAATGACGCATTTCGTCCTTCTAGAGACAGAACGACAAGGAAAGGAGAGCTGACAAACGTAAGTGAGAGAGAAGCTGACGTGAAAAATATGCCATAATTTTTGCAGCTTCCTATTGATTCACACATAATTCTTTCATACAGGACGAGACAACACCCTACTTCACAAAGGGTCGAGGGTATATTCACATACGTGGACTCTTTCGATCAAACCTCCTATCTTGAACTTGAAATGATACTGCTAACTTGGTACCGAACAGACGCAAAATACCAAAATGCAAATGCTTATAGGTGCCCGGCTTCCTGCTTTGATGGCCACAGTGGCACGGGCCGGAGCTAGGCGACCGGGGATTACGCAGCCGAGGGCGCGGCGACGTACTTGACGGTGCCGGCTTCCGCAAGCGCTGCGCGGAGCGGCTTCTTGGCCGCCGCCTCGAGCTCGTCGGCGTCGGCGGCCAGGGCGGGCAGGCCCTTGAAATCGAGGCTCTCGTCGTCGTTGTAGATGTCCCACCAGTTCCTGACGAGGATCCTGATGTCCTCCCTGTCCATGTTCTCCTCTTTGCCCGTGAACCTCCATGGCTTCGATCCCTGCGACCATGTGTGACCGATCCATCCGTAAGAATGCAAGCAATAGCCAGAAACCGACCGAAATTCATACCAGCGACCGACAGGGCAGTCCACTTACCGCAGCGCAGTAGTGCACCACCTTGACCTTCTCCAGCTGGACGTTCTCCGGGTGCCTCCAGAGCATCGCCAGCACAAGGTTGTAGACCAGCGGGATCGGCTTGTACTGCTCCTTGAAGAACATGTTCAGGAAATCCTGCAGATTAGGGAGCAAGAACAAGGTGAGCACGAACGCCGTTATTACTGCCAAATCTGGACTCTCGAGAAAAAATAATTAGCGGCTTACCTGCTCCGCGAATGGGGTCGTCGGCATCACGCGGAGGGTGTCAAGGAGCGCCTTGGCGGTGGCCATGCTGGGCTCGTGCACGAACATGCCGGCGTTGAAGTAGAGCGCCGGCGGCGGGCCCATCTCGGCGGCCGGCCACGTCACCTTGTCGGGACACTGCTGGCAGTGGCCGATCTGGTACTGCGGGGTGTGGCTCCACGTCTTCTCGCAGAAGCAGTCCATCACGGCGTAGAAGTGCCCCTTGGGCAGATCGAACAGCTCGTCGATGTTTTCGAACACCTGGATGTCGGCGTCGAGGTACACCATCCTCTCGTACTCCACAAACTGCGTTCAAAACCAAGTCAATAACAGATCAGCACACCATTACTGCCATACACACTGACAAACGTGAGCGAGACATGCAGGTGGTATGGTAATTTTACCTCCCAGATGCGGAGCTTGGAGTAGTTGATGACGTAGTAGGCCATGGCAAACTGGGTGTGGTTCTCGGGCGGGTACACGGGGGCGATCTCGCGGACGATGCAGCCCTGGGAGACGAGGATCTTGCGGTGGAGCTCGGGCACGTCGGGCAGCACGGCTACCACCAGTGGGTAGGCCGAGCCAACCTTGCGCAGGCCCTTGGCAAGCCCAACCACGCCCATCCAGTAGTCCCCTGCCCCCGCCAAGAACGTCACGTACGCCTTCGTCGCGGGCTTCGCCGCCGCCACGGCAGCCTTGGCGGCCATCTTGCCGGCCAGCTCGGGAGCCATCTTGATCTAGTCTCGGGGAGGAAGCTTTCTTGGGTTCGGGCTTGAGCTTTTGTGTTCGGGCTTGAGCTCTTGAGGCTCGTCGAGAGTGGGGTTTTTGGCTTGGGATTTCTGATGAGGTTTCACGGTGGGTAGCGAGGCTATAAATAAGGAAACGCAGGGCGGACTGGTCCACTGGATAACGCCCCACGTCGTCGGTCAGGGAGCATGGCCTGTGCGATCGGACGCGTACGCCTGGCGGAGATTGTAGATCGGACGGCCGGGACGCCGTGGACGGAAGCTTCTCGCGGTGGCAGTTTCGGTAGCGGCAGCAGGAAGGCGCGAGAAGTGTACAGAATGCGAGAGCGCTCTTTCGTCCCCTCTCCATGGCACGGCGGGCCCCGCATTCACTGCCATGGTTAAACCGAAATTGCATTGTCAATCGGGTGAGAAGGGCGCTAATTGCTCTTGTGATTGTGTTTAGTTGCGTACGTACATGGCAACCGTCGCAGAATCTCTCGAGTGATCGTTGCCGAATTAGTCAAAATTATGCAAAAGGCAAAGGTTGAAGGCAATTGATGATCCATTTTAACTAGAGTTTAGGGCCTCTTTGATTCGCAGGATTGTCAAAATGAAGGAATAGAAAAAATGCAGGAATAGGATGGTATGTCCTATAGTATCCTACAGGATTTGAAAGAGTGTTTGATAGCGCAGGAAAAACAAAGAAATTCTAGAAAGAGGTTTGAGTGGATGGATATTTTCCTCCAAAATGTAGTACAAATAGATCCTATGGAAAAATCACTAAGGATGCCAATCCTACGAATCAAAGGAGCATCATAGAAAAAATTCCTAAGGGTTCAAATCCTCCAAAAATCCTATGTAATTCCTTTGAATCAAAGGAGCCATTACTTTCTTGGGTGGGATATTCCTGTCGTCGGATCAATGGACAATCCTCACCCCGACGTCCTACCTTAGATCCCACTGACATCTGAACTTGAATGAGAAAGAAATATGCTATACTTATGTTCTTGATGCCACGAAAATAACGGTGAATCATTCCTCTCCCATTTTCGTGAATAGATTCCTTCCTTATTTGATTACTAGAATCTTTCCTTTATCAATTATTTTTCACTAGAATCTTTCAGATTTTCAAGTTTTACGTCGTCCTTCCTTCTTCTAGTCTAGTGTTCCTAGGAAGCGATGGAAAAAATTACACACATTTCTACTAGAAAAATGCTAGATCTACGTACGACCTATGTAATGTTACGTAACTTGCCTTACCTAATCTCTTCGGCCCCCCTGATTTCAACCGGGGTGGGGCCTCTCCCCTTATTTTCTCTACAGAATGACTAATTCACATCTAGATGTTTTTTAGTGATCTCACATCTAAATGTCCAGCCGTCCGATCTGTTTGCTTTGTTTTGATCGAGTGTTTGCCCGCATCACTATCGATCCTCGTATCCTCTTGTCGGCCCGGGAGGCCTACATCGGAGAGGAATTGTTTCTTTTTGTTTTTTTGTTGGGCCGGCGTCTCCTTTGTTTGATATGGGCTATATACGAAGTCTAGCCCAAGAGTACTAGAGTACATTAGATCGATACGTTAGCCACCACCCGAGTCGCCCCTCTCCTTTCGCGTGTTCCGCTCCCCCAGTTCTCCCGTTCCCTCCATTGTTTTTCCATTTTTCTGTTTGTTTTTGTTTCGAAATCTAAAGAAGAAGACGACCTGACCTGTCTGTGTGCTTTGGATATTTTTTTATGGCTCTGTGTTCTTTTTCTTTTCTTTTTCTATACTATAAATTTTTTGTGAGTGTTTCACCACTAGTTTTTCCACCATCGTTTCGCCACTAGTTTTTTGTAAGAGTTTCGCCACTATTTGTTTTGAAATCTGAAGAAGAAGACGACCTGACGTGTCTGTGTGCTTTGGATATTTTTGTTATGTCACTGTGTTCTTTTATTCTTTTTTTTCTACACTATAATTTTTTTTGTAAGTGTTCCGCCACTAGTTTTTCCACCATCATTTCGCTACTAGTTTTTTGTAAGAGTTTCGCCACTAATTTGTTTCGAAATCTAAAGAAGAAGACGACATGACTTGTCTGTGTGCTTTGGATATTTTTGTTATGTCACTGTGTTTTTTTATTCTTTTTTCTATATTATAATTTTTTTGTAAGTGTTTCGCCACTAGTTTTTCCATCATCATTTCGCAACTAGTTTTTTGCAGTTGGATATTTTGGTGCAACTATCTAGGTGTCAATTATCTACTCGCGACTATTTAGGTGTCAATTGTCGAGGGTCCCTAATTGCATGCCGACAATCGACTCGCAGTTGATAACAAGTTGCAACCCGCTCATCGACTCGTAGTTGATAACCAGTTGCAACCCGCTCATCGACTCGCAACTAAGGATGTGTGTGTGTGTGTGTGTGTGTGTGTTTGTAGAGGGTCACTAGTTGCATGTCGATAACCGACTCACAACTAGGGGGGTGTGTCTTTTTGTCAAGGGTCCCCGGTTGCATGTCGACCATCAACTCGCAACTAGGAGGTGTGTGTTTCTTTGAGAACACCTAGTTGTAACTTGACCATCAACTCGCAACTAGGGGTGTGTGTGTGCGTCTTTTTGTCAAGGGGTCCCCAGTTGCAAGTTGACCATCAACTCGCAACTAGGGTGTATGTGTGTGTGTGTGTCTCTTTTTGTCAAGGGTCCATAATTGCATGTCAAGCATCGACTCGCAACTAGGGGGGGTGTTTTGTTGAGGACACCTAG